GACACTATATTTCTTTGGAACATTTTAGAAATTTTAAGAAAATAGAACAATTTAGGTAAACTCATGTTTTGACAAGGAACTCGCATTTTGACTCATTGACGCATTGAACTCATGATTTGAATTGAATTTTATATTGTTTCAGGTAATCGAGGAATAAGTTGCTTAAATTATCAAAGATGAGAATGCAGTACCTCCATTGCTGGTCAAACATACGTCAACTTATAAGCATCAGCAGTCTCACTTTATAATTCTTGTTGTCAGGTACTCATATATATAAATATATGTTGCTCTTGTTTACATACACTTAAAAAAACAGAAAAGCCACGAAAGTATAATACCTGTTGTGAAAGCTTTCCGAGTGCTTTTTTCTGATAATAGAGGAAATATTTTAGGCAAGTGATTTACAGAATGTCCCAACATTGATTTCTATTATGCCCACAGAATAACCCATAAAACTACCTGATACATTCAACTATCTTTAAATATGTTCAATAGATCATATTATTATAGTAGACCCGTCCCTTCTGATATATGCATTTCTTCACAGGTTTAAAACTTTACCATATTAGCTTTCTCTCCTGAATAATGTGGCAATTCCTTGAATATTCCTGGAGCCAACAACTTATATTACGAGGAGTGTTGACATATTGATTTCTTGATTTGGGAAACTTCGAGTAAGATAATTATATTTGCTATTCGCAGTATAGGCAATTCTTTCGAGTCACTCATGTTGTTCGAATGATCCATGATTGTGTAGCAATTAAAGTGAGTTATGCAAATTCCAATCCTTAACTAATTAACTAGCTTGAATAACATATTCTTTTTCTACAATAATTTGAGTAACCACTTATGTTGTATTGAATAGTATTGGCATTTACTTGGTGCAAACCCATTTTAACTATAGCATAATTCAAACACGTGAATTTGATTCACTTTTGGTGTCATAATGTGACAGTTTCGTCAATCATATTCTGTTAGCGTTTGAAGAAGTCGGTTATACCGACGAACGCGTCATATTATGACATTGAAAGTGTAAATCAAATTCAATAATTTGAGTTATCCTATAGTCATTTTTGTTGCAAGATATAATTATTTGAGGTAGCTGAATATGCAATTTTCAAGCAGTTATACTCCGTCTTGTTGAATAATCTAGTCTCACCACCTCTCGAGAGAAGCTTGAAAGCTCTAATCATTTCTAGCTACAATTTAAAAAGAGAAGTCCCCTTCTGATTTGCATCGAATAGCGAACCCCATGTGCGGATTTATCGAATACTTCACAAATGATATTTTCGCACATAAACAACATCGCAAAATACCGAATACTGACCCAAAGTTAATACATGTCTACATTCATACTGATCATACTGTAAAATATATGTGCTCGATTAACAAAATTTGTGGCAATCTAGGTTGATGCCAATATTTGGCAGACTGTGGACAACCGAACATTTGCCTTATCGATTAGCTCCATTGACGAATCACCATATGCAAACGACAGAAAAGTTTATCACATGGCAGAGGCGTAATATATTATAATGGTCAGCACTCCTACGCCAGCTTTTTCGATTGAATTAATTGCATAGAAATAGTCGCTATGGTTTCTGAATAGATGCTAGCATACGAAACTAGTGGCAGATTCGATAACTTCTTGTAATACAGAAAGAACCACAAATATTTCGAAATATGTTTCGTACAAAATAAATTGTATTCTGGATAAGGAGAAGTAGGTGTAGATAGTTTTGTCTTATCAGAATAATAGTTATTTGATTCTTATAAAACTTTATTGGAATCTGAAAATTGAATAATCATTAAGTAGGAAGTTAATCACATGGTACTTTTCCAAACTTGATCGAAATTCTATATGGATACATGCTTATTTCAATACATAAGTGCAGAATTTTGAAGTCGGGTAATACACATACTGTAAATTTCTATTATCTCAATGAAAGCACTCGACATATGACAAATATAGTTGACAAGTGTCAAGAGCTATCTTAATTACAAAAATTTCTGCCTAATTATTTCGTTAAATCAATTGATTTCTGCGATATAATTCGAATGTTTCCTAAGCTTGTAATTTGACTATAAATGAGCTTGTGATAATAAGCTGTAAACTCCTACTAATGAGTAATAATAATAAAAATAATAATAATAATAATAATAATAATAATAATAATAATAATAATAATAATAATAATAATAATAATAATAATAATAATAATAATAATAATAATAATAATAAATAATAATAATAATAATAATAATAATAATAATAATAATAATAATAATAATAATAATAATAATGATAATAATAATAATAATAATCATAATAATAATAATGATATTTATTTAGCTGAAGCTATACAAAAATCTACATATTTTGAACTGTCAATTTTCAATTATATACCTATCTCATTATTCAAAATATACTTTCTAAGATCACGCTTAAATATTTAAATACTAGTACTAGTTTCCAATATATTCGGTAAATCATTGAAAGCCTTATGTCCGTCATAGTATATGCTATTTTTGGATTTAGAGAGCTTACATTTTTGGATAATTACATATAATATAGAAAGTATTATTAAATAAGTATATTAATTGACATTTAATGGAATTTATTCAAAATCATATATTTTTGAATGATTGTTGATTTCATACGGTGTATGATTGACCAGAATTGACGGTTGGCCCTTCATTATGCTGTAAACAAGTGAAGGCTGCGCGCTCTACGCCGTCTATCTCAAAAACATTTTCATGTATTCCATGTACGGAACGAAAGTTGTAGCGAATTTTATTTTATAGAATACTCGTAATAGTGCTCATGACATTCTTAGGGAAAGAGATATTGAAGTATGTCAAAATATATGTACAACACTGATTCTTTCGACGTTTGATATCTCAGGGTGCGACACGAGATTTCTAAGTCTTCTGATATGACTCACAACAAACTGATATGAGAATCACAAAAAAAACTTCATACGAGTTAACAGTAATTTTCAATACATTCATCAATATAAAGAAACTATTTCAGTCTGCCTATAGTAACATGAAGATATCAACGACATAACGGAATACTTCTGAATTCAACTACTGATACAAAATACATCATATTACATGTGATATGATGTTCTTACAACGATGTGCCTTCTCAATAAAATGTAACATCGATGAGTAACTGTTGAGGAATGTCATCAAATGTAATTTTAAAAATTGGTTGACTCCTATAGTTAAGTTTCATATTGGGCTAATCCAGCACTGTTCTATCGACCATCTATAACGAGGGACAAAACACAAGCTTATCACTTCAATATGTTTCAATGACATACGATGTCCAGAACATGTCATAGCACAATTTTACGGCTTTCATATTTTCGACTCGATTGGTTACGAGATTTATTGTTAACAGTTGATTCGATTAATGTAACTTTTATGATGTTCGATTTGCCGCCGCATGAGATACCATAGCAATAAAACCATTTTCATACATTTCCACATTCTGCTGAATCACTTTCGGAAATTTCATTATCAAAACTTGGAAGAAAGATTCACACACAAAATTCATATCAGCAACACTGGTAGGCAATCAAAATTTCATCGATTTCTTAGGAATTATATTTGGAAAAAAAACTGTGATATTTCAGGCTATTACCAGTAGATTAGATATGATGAGAAAGATTGATTTCACTTGCTAAATATTTTTATTTCGTTCATTTTTACATTATTCATTTAATTCATCTACAGTTGAGTGAGCGGTTTTTTTACTCGTAATTTTACTGATAAACGATCAGTCGTAGTGACGTAGGGATTCATGCACGGGTAAAATAGAGTGAGAGTCTGTGTTGGCCGGCTGTTACTAACTCATATTTACAACTTTCTCTTAACTTACTAACTTGCTACGAGTTAATCAACTTATAATAATCTCAAATATGTACTTAATCTATTACTAATTGAAATAATAATAATCTCATATACCTAAAATATAATTAATTCAAATGAATTCAATCTTCCGTTCTATAGTTTCCGTATTGTTATATTCTCTCACTTATGTTTCTCCAAATGTCGTGATATTATTCGGTATTTCAATTGCACCAGCATTAAATTCAAAAATTTTTAGACCGAACTAATTCACAATTCCTTGTGTTGCCTTGTAACGCCTACAAACTGTACAATTAAATTTCGATTAACCCTTGTACCAATTGTATGATGAATTGAATGTTCAATAAACGATTAATGATTGAGAAACTCATTATCTTCTTGAATACAAATAGTATAAGAATAAAGATCCAGATTGTAAAATGAAGTGAAAGATACCAGATTGCTCATATAATAGGTAAAACAATTTATACTTCGACAAAATTACTTTGAGATTCTGCTACTGTGTGTAATATATGTATTTATACCTTATGTATATATTTTATGTTTAATGTCAAGTATAGTCATCCGTCGAACCCCCCACTCATTTTGTAGGGGAATGATTTGCGTCCTGATGTGAGGAACAATGGAGAGGCATTGCAGAAACATTCAATTAAAGTACCACTGTATTAATACATGTTAGTTTCAATTATTGCTACTGATTATCCTTAACACATAACACTATGATGAGGAATATAAAGGGAATTTATAATACATATCAATTTATTGGAAAACCATTCATCATTTTACCATTTTATCATTTCGATAAATCAGATCAATCGTATAGCCGATGTAAAACATGAGTAGGCCAATTGAAATTATATTTTTAAGATTTGAAAATCATAAATTATCTTGATTTAATTGCTATAAACCTAACCTAACCTAATCTTACTTAATTTAAATTAATTTTTTCCAACTCAATCTAAGCTAACAAAACTCAACTTAATTCAATCCAATCTAGATTAGTTTGAGTTATTTGATATATGGCATACCCATAAATAAAGAAGTGAGAGAATATGGATCTTTTCTCTGTCGAATAGTCATATTAACCTGAAATTATTCCTCATTTAAATGGAAATTCAGATGCCTGTCTCCATGGCTTAGTCGGGAGAACTCCATACTATGATTCAGTAGGATTCGGGTTCGAGCCCCAGTGTAGGCAAAGGTGTTGCTGTCTATGTTTCAATGTTTAAATAATTATATATGCTGAGTAATGTACTTGGATTACAAGCCCATTGGGCATTCGGAACCGGCGTTGAACTGTAGGAAATTCAGATTGGTTCGAGGAAAATAACAGACTTTTCTCTCATCTACAGAAAAATTTTCGTTGAATATACGTTGAAGTTACGTCGGTGTTCTTGATATTATAAAAAATCATAACGTTACACAATTCGAATGAATCACCTCAAAAAATCTTCATCTCTATGATTCTCAATAGTTCCAGTCAATAGAAATCTACATTTTCCAATTTCTTCCAAGTATTATCCGGCTTATTTAATAGCCAAAACCCATTTCAGACCCGAAACAGCGATCCTAATACCAGGTTTCCGAATAAGGTCATTTCAAAAAACATGAAAGGACCTTTGCATTGAATTGCTCAAACCAGGAATTCAAGAAATTCCGAAAGTTGTCCAAATTAAACCCCGCTTTCGGATATAACAAGTATCGGACTACTTCGAATTTCCATTGAGAATAGAAAAAAAATCGGAGCCAACACATAAAAAAGGAAAGTGGTCTGGCAATAACAATTTGAAAAGAGATTATTCTCCGCACTTCTTCTTCAGAGCTTTCGTCAGGATTACAATTCGACTGTTAGGGGTTGGAGACGATATTTCCGATAGATTAGGACTCATTCTTCTCCTGCTATGTATTACGTGCATGAGCCTTGGATTCTACGATCAGATTTATCTGATGATTACCAACCAGATTTACTGGAAAATAGTTCTTTGTTTGTCGTATTATCGAGATATTTCTCGACACACAATCATTAATTTCCAATTACAATAACATTCACTCAAGTTCAACCACTTTGCTGTACGAAATGATCTTCTCCACGACAGAAAGAATTTGTTTCCATTTCCAAGGATCATTTGAAAGATTTTCATTGTGCAAAGGCTGGAGTTTTGTAGAGAGTTGTGAACAATTTGGAATTTATTTGAAAAAGAAAACACTTGGCTTTGTTTCTAAAATTTTATAGCATTCCGAAACAGCTGTCAATCAGTTCATATAATTTTGTCAAATTAGGTCGAGTGTTTTTTATGCAATATATTGTCCTCTTAGTCCTCTAAGACAAACAAAACACTTTCCGTAATCGAAATAAAAGAATATAAGATTAACAAAATTTTCATCGCCATTCTACACACACCAACACGTTTCAAAGTGAGTCTGAGGAGACATCTCTACTTTTTGGACCCCCATTTGAACAAAACATTTCACCGGGTGAGAAAATTAAGGGAAATCATATAATTCAAAATCCCAAAAATAAAGGACGATTTATACTTTCAAAAACCGAAGGACCATCTTAGAACAATTACTCAAAATGTAGTAGATACCTTATTATAGAAAGAATTGATTGTTGATATGTACAGAGGAAATCGTTGAATTTAATGAAATGATGAAGAGAAATTCAAGTATGCAACCGAAGTGAACAGTGAATAAGATCAGAGTCAATAACTCTGTGATGTGCATAAATGTATAGCGAACTGAAAAACACAAAATTTTCGTATAACTCATTTAATTATTTGAGTGAGTAATATGAATGACAAGTTAAGTTATACCAGGAAGAATATGTGACGATGATTTCACAGGAATGGAAATAATTCATCATTCACAAAATATTTATATTCCCATATGTATATAACTTGTTATTGATGTTAATGATATTCGAAGATTTTAATGAATTGTGGTTAATCAAGGAAATATAAAACCCAACTCAAACCTAAATACGGCATTATGATGAATAAATTCACATAAGAAGTTGCATCTCCTCATCAAGACAATATATTATTGGTAAATAATTGTTTATTCTAGTCCAATTACTCTCAATTCGATGGAACTATAAATTATTGAATGATGAATTCACTGATTTTAAATTTAGAAAAATTGCTCTAATACGAGAAACTTCATCTCCTACGGCTCAAGGCTTTGTGAAATGAACTTCATAGAGCTGTAATTTTAAACCCTGAACACAAAAAGATAGTTGTGATAAGATTGACATGTCTGTCATAGTGACTCGTAAGTCCTAAGCAAATGGTCCGATTATAATATATTTATTTTGTTTGAAAGTTGCGGTCATATTATCTACCACAAACCTGATTATTTGAAGTCTTGTATATGTAGGTACTGTAACAGAATACAAATGAAGAGAATATTGATGAGGAAATGACATTATAACTCAGGTTAAGAGTGATAAACCAAACAAAATGATTCAATATTGCAATCTGGTTAAATATATCTAAATAGCGATAACTAGACCCTTATCTTGAAAAAAAATGTCATAAGAATGAAGTTGAAAGGTCTGGAAATAAATTAAATGTTTCAATTTTTTAAGTTTTTGAGGAATTGCTTTCAATCTTCCATTTCATACTTATATACATAAATCCATACTTATCTCCTACCTAAATCCAGAATGAAGTTTCACAACATCGGTTCATCTATTAGTTTGATGAACTATTATTCTTACCTTGTGAGAAGTTATAATACAAAAATAATCTCTATAATGAATTATACCTAATATTATCAACACTCGTTTTTGTGTGTATGAATGAGTTTTTCAACGCAAAATAAATTTGATTACATGTTATCATATTGAATTGATTCATACCTGAAAACATATCTTCATAATATCATACAAGTACCTACTGAAATGAGATTCACAATACGAACAAAACAAAATGAAAAATAGTTACTTCCGTTTTGAAAAAAAATTTTTGAGATCAAATAGTTGCTGAATATGGATGATTGAATAATTTTTCCCCGAATAATTTTTCATTCAGAATGTAGATATCCGCTCAAGTCGACATATTAAGGAAATGTTAGATATAATGATCCAAGAAATTCGAAAAAAATTCTGAAAGATATAATGTTCTTATAATTTTGAGAGGAATACTGTGGTTTTCTCTACAGAGTGCCTCATTTTTTTATAATTACAGATTAAGTGCTGATTTTCAAACTCAGACATAGCTGAACAACTCATATTATACCAATTAAATGTAGAAAAAATAATTTCGAATTCATGGTAACGGAATTGGCAACCATTAAGTACTATTACGATAATTCTCTGAGACAAACGGAAATTTCAACTATTTATTAATTATTTACGAGTAAATAATGAAATATTGTCGCCAAAAGCAAACCAGTATGTAGCAACCTCTGTAAACGTTGTCATGAATGTACTCCAATATAATCTGCATTTCCGAACAAGTTGAAAATGCCTAAACCGTCGATATGTTTCCTGGCTGCAACGTACTGTGTGTCACAAGCCACACTAGCATTCAGACGACAACTGTTCGGAATTTAAATCTGTTGTTCTCTCTACAAATGGACCCATATATTTGAGAAAATTTTGACCCTTGAATGAGGGTTCTTGTGCTCTGCCATATTCTGATCACGATAGCAATCTCGAGGAAGTCTTTAATGTAATAGCCGAGACGTCGAGTATAATCAAACTCGGATTCGATTTGTTACATTCCAGAGAATATGTACGGGGTTTGTTAACCGCCATACAGACGCGGTCGGTTCATTGGTCTTCTTCACCCTTGTAGTCGATCTGTGGCTGCAGGAATACGAGATGCCGATAGGACCTCCAACTCGAAACAATGAGGATAATTATGTTCATTCGACAGGTTTGGGAATATTTGGATTTTTAAGAATGAATACAATATTATGAATGAATAAATTCATTCCTTTTGTTCATCCTCATCCTCAATGAACACGTACTGCATAGAGAATTCCTTGTATTTAGACAAAAGTTTTTTTCGTTCAATATTGAAAACTGAACCTGAGAATTTTCATCACTACAATCTGGTCACAGTACAAAAATGAGAGATGTCACATTCACCTAATTTACTACTGTCTAACTCGAACTGAGGTAGACTTAGTAGTAGGAAAGTATAATTTTGAATTTGAGTTATATATTCAACTCATAAAACAACTACATGCATAAAAGACTTCAGGTCAAATTTCAAGTAAGATATGAGTTTTCGCCAAATCTGAAAGAAGTTTCTCTCATTGAACTTTTCAGTTACACATTTTAAGTTTAATTTCACGAACTTCTGGACACATGTAAATGAATTATGAGGGAGTTTGTAAATTGGTGTAAATTGAACAATTCGATGGTGAACATTACGATTTCTCTGAATGGTAATGGAATCTGTGGCTGCCGGAATACCAGATGCCGATAGGACCTCCAACTTGAAATAATGAGGATAATTATGTTCATTCGACAGGTTTGGGAATATTTGAATTTTTGAGAATTAATACAATATTATGAATGAATAAATTCATTCCATTTGTTCATACTTATCTTCACTGAACATGTACTGTATTGAGAATTCTCTTGTATATAGACAGAACTTTTTTTCGTTCAATATTGAAAACTAAATCTGAGAATTTTTATCACTAAAATCTGGTCACAGTACAAAAAGAGAGATATCACATTCACCTAATTTACTACTGTCTAACTCGAACTGAGGTAGACTTATCACAGCGTTCTTTAGATTCTATGTTCATAAAACAGTTACACTAAAACTCAACATGTAGAACGGACACTGTTCATTGAAGTCACATCCACTTAATTATTAACTCGAAAGATTTATTCTTTCGAGCTTTTTCTCAATGTTCATGTAGTCTAACAGTTCAAATACTTCCATTAACATGTTAACATGTGGCTTTCTTCATGTTCATTGGCATACCAGGCAATAGTTTGCTCAATAGTTTCTATATGTAGGTCTCTATCCAAGTAATTGTTTCGAATATACTGAAGAACTTCTGTAATATTTCTGAGTAATCGCTTTGAAATCGTTGGATGATATTGAGATTCGTCTGTTTGGTAAACCTCATAATTATATTCTGTAGGAACACACAGGCTTATAGAGTAAAAGTTTGTTCTGTATTGATACTCGTAATTGGGACTCACACCCTATCAGCCAATAAATTTTCCTG